GGTTGGGGGAACCTTCTTCAGGAGTCAGAGCTCACCATATCAAGTGGGTCATAGCCCCTGACAACTTTGGCTAGAGGAAAATAAATCCTCTTTGCCCCTTGCTAGATGTTTGATTCATCATGACCTGCATCACAAGCCCTTGAGATCCTTGAAATGGGTTAGGATGTATGCAATGGTATGATGTCATGATGCATGGGGTAATATGAGTGAACCCTGTTATGAGCCCTTATTAAGGACTATAAACAGAAACCTGCAAGAAACTTAGCAAAATTTATTATGAGTCCTAATTAAGGACTGCAAACCAAAACCTGCAAGAAACTTAGTAAACCCTGTTATGAGTCCCAATTAAGGACTATAAACAAAACCTGCAAGTAGTTCATGTGTCAGCTAACAAGCATGCAAGTAGGCAAGTACAAAGGCACACAAGTCACACAAGAGAAACCCTTAGGGTTTAGGCCAGCATGGGGTCTGGGTAGTACCCTCTTGAAGTTGGTGGGTTCAACCTGTCCTAATCAAAGTAACCGGGTTCTAAGGATCCCAATATCACGGAATTGCTTTCATTGTTCATCGTTTCGATTTAGCCACTGAACTGGCGACCGAAATATTCCAGGAAAGCAACCCTCAATTGAGTGTAGTATCGAGTATCAACCAACCTCGGACTGCACCAAAGTCAGTTATCTCACTACCCTAAAGAGGCCAAGATAGTTCAATTAAGGTTCCTAAGGTCTGTTGATGCTTCATGACACCACGCGGAGGCCCCGTACTCTCCTTGACTGAACTCAAGGGTTACCGGTACACACCAAAGTGCCACATCAACGTAGCAGACTGTTTCAACCATGTCGGTATACCCCGCACAGTTCCCTCACAGTCTTGTTGCTACTTTCTAAGAAGGTATCCCCCAGATCCGGGTTTAGGATCTATAGAACTCCCAAGCAACCCACAATTTAAAGCACACAAGGAAAACAATTGAAAACACAGTTATGAACTAACCCTAAGGTACACCTCACTTTATAAGATTATCCCCAGCAGAGTCGCCAGTTCTGTGATCGGTGGATCTGGAACTGACTGTTTAACGCTGGTTCGCGAAATGTCGCGGAAGCAAGAGTCGCCACCGTCTTTTATTTTCTCCAAATGGAAAGGACAAAAGCACAGAAAAATTCCTTAAAGAGATTGCTCTCGGTTCGGGAGGTAGGTTATAGAAAGGGAAGGTGTTAGCACCCTTTCTATCCATGGTTATCCATGGGCTCTTAGATACTTGATCATTGTGTTTTCAAAATGGTTTGTTTGCTTTTCAACTGTGGGTTTTAAAAAGTTTCTTTGAAAATTCCAGTTCGACTCTTGTATCGGTCCTCAAGAGTGTTTGAAAAATTGCTTTCGAAAGCTTTTTGAAAAGGTGTCGGTGTGAAAAGTATTTTTTGATTTGTTTTTGAAATTAGAGAAAGTATCTAGAGTCGTCTACCTACCCTAAGGAATTCGTCTGTGTAAATGTCCTTTAAAGTAGTGCCATCCCACCATTGAGAGGTAGGTAGCACCACCGTTGGAGGTGTTCGGGTCAATTCGAAGGTTCGGGACATGGTGATCACCAGAGCAATGGGAAGACACCTTAGAAGCTACCCTCATGCCAGGTTCCCGGATCATGAGGACTTACTAAGACATCCTCTACTCGACGATCACCTTTCGAGGCAAGGCAACAGTGAGGCGTACCCTAGGGGTGGTGTGTGATTTGTGTGTCGTTTTCATTTATTTTTGTCTTTTGTCAAAGTGATCTATGCGTTTGTTTTTATTTTATCATTCATTCTTGCATGTCATTATTAATAGTTAAAAATTGCGAGAAATATAAAGTTCCTAAACTATTACAAAGGCGCGGGTCCACATCGCCAAATTAAACCAGGACCCGATTTGACATAAAATAAAGAAATAAAATGTGGGAAATATAAAATGTTACAAGGCCTTGGGAGAGGTACATAAATATTTAAGCAAAATAAAATAAGTGCACGAATTGGAAATTTATCGAAGCGAGGGCGTTGGACCCTTTTGCAAAAAATCAAATTAATGATGAAGTTAATTAATTAAAAAAAAAGAAAGGACTTATTTTTGGTATTTTTTAGTATTTTAGGATTTAATATAAAAAGAATTAATTAAAACTAATACTAACCCTAATTCTAATGGCTTTTAATTTATTAAGAAAAATATTAAAGTTTTTTAACCTAAATTAAACCCTAATTAATTTACAATTTTAATTATGAAAATAAAATATTTAATTATTTAATATATTTATGAAAGAATAATAAAAAGGATGAAAAATTATTAATTAAGCCTATTTCTATATTTTTTTTAGATTTTTGTTAAAAGAATTAAAATTGCAACCTAATTTAAAATTAAATAATTACATGCAAATTTATTTATGAAAAATATTAAGACAAAAATATTTATTGTATTTTCCCTTTTTTCTGATTTTTATGATATTTTATATTTATGAGAATAATTAATTAACTAAACAAATAATAATTAAAAGGAATAAAAAATAATAATGCAAAAAAGGTAAAGAAAATAAAAAAAATGTGCAAACCTGGGGGTTCAGACCCCAATATGGAGGTTTGGCCTTAGTAATTCAGGCCCAATGACCTTGCTGGCCCTTTTGACTTTTCAGGGAGTATGCTGGCGCGTTGACCAGAGTTTATGGTGTTCCCCAATTCTGAGCCTTTGATTTGATTCCAATATGCACGTGGGCAATTTGATCTGGAGGGTGTATGGTGCGTCTTGATGTTGGCACTGCATGGGAACGTGGATTGCAAAATAATATGAGAAATAATACAGACCTGGGGCTCGAACCCAGGTCAGGACTGTTGCTACCACTATGCCTTGCCACTGAACCAATTGTTGCGCTTTGTATATAAAATAAACGAAGAATAATATAATAAGAAACAATGGTTAGTGGTTCAAAAACGCGCGAAATTTAAAAGAGCCAATGGTTGCTGGCCACGAGTTCGTCTTCTTCATTGTATTATCTTTTCCTGAAATAAAACAAACATAAGCAACGGTTTTTACACCGTTGCAGAAAGTATCTTTACAGAAAATAACGATTAGCACTAGGGCACTCATAAATTAGGCGCGATAGTTCCATTATCTTCGTCCACATGCGCTGAGTTGAATGGTGGTGGTTAGGGGTTCCAATTTTTCCTTGTTACAAAACCCCTAATCTGAAGCTCTGCAAACCCTAAAAATCAATCATGGCATAATCGCGTGTAGCACATAAAAATGCAATTAAATATATTGGTTAGCTTCAGAATTTCATAAGGAACATGAATCAATGAATAAAATGTTATGAAAATGCATAGATTTGAAAACACGATTATGAATTTTTCATGAAATATTTGGAGTTCTGTATACCGATTCCTTGAGTTTTGATGAAGGTTTTTGATTGGAATACGTTCAGTGACGTTTGAGGAAGCTAATGAAACAAAAATTCTGCCTTGAATCGCCCTAGAAAGTGGTTTCCAGAATTGAGTCTCTTTGCAAAATTTTCAAGTTTGTTCTTCAAGTTTTTGAGCAGCTGCGTCTGTATTTGCATTAGGGTTGTGATCCTGGCATATGTAGTAGTGAATTAGGTCAAAAAGAATCATCCAAATCTCTTGCATTCATAGTTTTGAAGATTTGATTTTCAAGCTTTATTTTCCAAATATTTTCCATGTGCTTTTGTGCAAATCATGATCCAATCAGTCCAATTCTTTCCATATTTGAATGTGCACGAATTATTGAGTAGATTATATGTGCAAAAAGATTTGTTAGGTTAAGTTAAGTATTTTTCACATATTTAATTGATTTAAGTGAATTAATATAAATAAAAATTCAAATAAATAAATAAAAAATGAATAAAAACTTCCCTTTGGGCCAAGTGGTCGTGCACATGCCATGGATGATGAATTATGGAAGAAAAATGGGCCCATTAGCAATTTTAGGTCATTTGAATCAATGTTGACTTTTCAAAATATCCAAAAATTTCCCAACTTCTACAAGGCATAACTTGCTCAATTTTTAAGCTTTTATCATGTTCTTGGACATTTTGGAAAGTTCTTTGAGTCCTCTAACCAATGCCTTTGGTCCCATGTCATTTTGATTTACCAATCTCAAGTTATGGCCTTTGACTTAAAGTCCCTTTTTGTTGATTTTTGAAAATGACCTATAATGTTGAAATTGATAACTTTTTGTGAGAGCATTTCTTGGACTTGAAGTATGAAGATGAGTTGTAGGAAATGTCTTTCTATTCAAAATGAGCTTTGGATGGAATTTTTCTGATAATCCATGTGAAAGTTATGCCCTGGTCAATTTCAGTTGACTTTTTCAGCTGTCCAAATAAGGAAACTTTTGCATCTTGATGATTTTTGAGCCAAACTTTGAGAATCATGATCAAGCATTGATCAAATGATGTTTGTGGCTTCAAAATTATATGTTGACCAAAAATTTGAACTTTTGACTGTCAAATGACCATTTTGCCCCTACAGTTGACTGTAGTGCAATTAGGGTTTTTGACTGTGCAATTTTGAGTTGAATGTCTTGAAACTTGACATGAGGATACTTGACCATATTTGTAGGCATATGAGACTTGATTGGACCTTTGGAAACTTCAACTTCTTGATTAGAACACAAACCCTAATCTTGACTGTTTAGGAGGCTCTTGCACTGTGCAACCCTTGGGGAACTTTGAAGCATGTCTTGGCAATTTCTTAAAGAATATGGGAGGGCAAATTTTGGGGTACAACAAGATGATAGACCACGCGGAAGCAACCTTTGAAGCTTATGAACAACTTATGTATGACAAGGAGATGGAAACTGCATCTCTCAAGTTTCAATTGCAGGCTTACAAAAACAAACTTGTCAGCTTAGGACGTGATCTCAATGCAACTGAGTTTCAGTACGTGCACTCAAATACAATTGATTAAACTAGAATTAAGGCAATGAGAAGGCTAAAGTCATTTCCCTCAACTCCGATTGAAAAGATCATGACCCTCAGTGGGAGTAATGCTCACAAAACTGAAAGATCACATAGTCCAGCGCCTGTTTCAAGTGACCAGGAACCTAGCTTGGATTGTGGAAGTGGAACTATTAATTCATACTGGAACAAGATAAAAATGTTGCATGCACAAGCGAGACTGATTTCAGATCGTAATAACATTGGAGAAAACTTGAAAAGTAGAGGAGGGAGGTCATGTTCAATATTTTCAAAAGCCCACAATGTATTTGAAGTCCCTGAAGCCACAGTAAAACACGAGGTCAGAAGAAGACATGAGAAATGGAATTCTTTGGCAGACACTATATTAACAAAACCAGAATCTGTGTTTGAGGGAATGATTGAATCGCCTCTTAAACATGATGCAGACAAGCAAAGGGGCACAGTGACAAGTGTTGGTATGATACGGTGGGAGAACTGACTTGGGTTTTGCGTTTATTTTCGCAAATGTTTCGGTTGAGCAAGAGTCGCCACCGAATTTTTATTTTATCCTAAGGAAAGGTTAAAAAGCACAGCAAAAACCTTTGAGATGTTTTCTTGGGTTCGGGGAGTAGATTATAGAAAGGGAAGGTATTAGCACCCTTTCTATCCATGGTTATCCATGGGCTCTTAGTTACTTGCTTAGATCAACTTGCCTTGATTTTCAATTGTTTGAATGGTGTTTTCAATTGTTTGAAATGGTGCTTCGAGTGTGGGTTTGAAAATGTTTTGAAAAGAGGCCAATGTGGTGGCAACCTTTGTAATGATCCATGTTAGGATGTATACAAAGATGTATGTCTTTTGAAAAGTTTTCAATGTTTTTCAATGTTTTTGAAAGTTATTTTGAAAATGTGTTGTGATGTGTGTTTTGAAAAATAGGCAAGGGTTTTTGTTTTGCAAGTTGGCAAGTAACCAAGAACTATCTACCCTAAATTTCTCAAAGATCTTTGCTATGTTTTAACCCTTTTAACAATTTTTGTTCCACCATTGTATTTGGTGGACAATCTTGTGTTAGGATGTGAACGGGACGGGCGCGGGTCATCGTTTAGACCATGATTGCAATGGTGCCAAGTATCTTTGGGCAATTTTTCCTTTAAGGGACTTGATCATTTTTAGGCAACTTTCGAAAGCGTCATCGAGGGACTATGATCATTTGGTATTGTTTTATTTTGCCAAAGATACTTAACATGCAATATGGCCCATTTTTTAAGGCAACAAGTGGAGTACCCTAGGGGTGCAAGTGTGATTAGTGTTGTCTATTTTCATGCTTGTTTATCTTGAATTTAGGTCAAACTATTTTTGGTTAATTTTGCATACAAAACCCTAATTCTAACATGGCATAATTAGAAAGCTTTTAAATGCGAAAATAAAAGGTCCTAAGTTATTACAACATAATATATGGGATGGGGGATACAAATGTTCAAATGGGGATATTTTAGCAAGAAATTAAAATCTAACTATTACATCCAAATTGAAATTTTACAAGGGATTTAATTGCACAATAATTAAATAAAATAAAATAAATATGCAAAATGCAAAAATGGTTTTCATATGTATGTAAAAAGGTATTTTTCATGTGTTAAATGAACAAAAATAAAATGAATTAATTTTTGGTATTTTTATGTATTTAGGGTAAAACCCTAATTTTATAAATAAAAGGTATTTATTATATAATATATGCCATATTTATTAATTATGTACAAAGAATAAATAAAAGAAGGTATATTGTAAAAAAGTATTTTTGAGGTCAAAATATTAATAAAAATAAAATGTATTAATTCTTTGTATTTTCCCTAAATATATTAATAAATATATAAGTATTTACATTATTTATTAAATATATATATTATGTACAAAAAATAAAATATTTAATATTTACAAGAAAATATATTTTTTATAAAAATGTTTTCAAGAGATAATATAAAATAAAAATCAGAAATAAAATATGTTTGTATTATTTTTTGTATTTTAAAATAAAAGTATCTATATTTATTTATTTACATATATCAAATTAGAACAAATAAATGCCTAAAAATGCAAAAAAAAATGAAAAAAATAATTTTAATATTTTTTATGCTTTGACAAAAATAAATAAATCAGAAACAAAAATCAAAAGTCAAAAATAATGGAAATAAAATGCAATGGGCCAAGGAGGTGCAAATGTAAAAACATGGTGTAAAAAGGAAAAATATCACAGGCCCAGCCCATGAAAGGTTGTCTTCAACCTCTGAACAACAAACAGAGCAAACACGTGATTCCTGCTATCTCCTGATTCCTGGACTTTTAGCACAAACTCATAACATGAAAGATGTCAAGCATCAAGCCACGATTCCATACATATAAAAAACTTAACTTAACTTTCAGAAATGAGAGAGAATTTCTCCATCCCTAATTCTTAACCTAAGTTTTTGTCAATGTTCAAGTTCTAAATACTCTCAGCACATGCAATATAAATGGAAAGTGATGATAGGTATAGCTTCAGGGCCATGGATAGAACATTTTTCATTCATAAACTTAGAGCTAACTCTTCCTATATTGAGAGATAGAAGTCCATGAACTTACCTGTTCAGCTTGGATCGTGTCTGACAATGGAGGCACTTTCAAGGCAAGGTGAGGATTGGTACAGCTTGCTTGAAGTTCAGGGATGATATTCCAACCTTTAACTTGCTTTGAAACCAACTGAATCAAGCTGTGGCAATCAACCTGCAAAACAGAAAAAATGAAAATGGTGAAGTTGGTTAGAGGTGTTACAGGTCGTGTCCAATGCTTGGGATAGCTTGTATATGTGGTATGGAATGTGTATGAACTGGTCTTAGCAAGAATGCACGAGTGGACTGAGTTATGGAAGTCCAACTGCAGAGGTGACTCTGTTTTCTGCAGTAGGAGGGTGTTTTGAGGTTTGATGATGTTTGGAGGGTGTTTTGCTCGTGCCTTAGCTTAGGTTTGATGTTTGGAAGGTGTACAACAACTTTGTCTTAGCTTATGTTGGCAGAAATGAAAGTTGGTGTGTGTTATGCCAAGTTTCTTCACACTTAAGCAAGAAATGTCAACTTGGTTCTCTAGACTTGTACAGGCCCCCCAAATATGCTGCAACCATCCCCCTTGATCAGTGTGATGTGCTTCTGAACTTGTGCCAAATATATTTGCCTTGTACTTCTTGATTTGCAAACTTGACATAAAGTTCCACTTTTCAAAAATGGATATATTGCTTTTTCTAATTATAGCTCAATCTTGTATGTAATGCTTAAACACATAATATAAGGCTTGAACACAAGGGGTTTGCATTAAATTTATGAGTGTGGATGAGATAAAGGACCTGTAATCTAGCTTAGAGCATGCTGAGTTCAAAAATGCAAAGTCATAGACATGTACATTGGCCATGAACAAAGTGAGTTTTGCCCATATTGCCAAATTCGATTCTCCCTAACCACAAGGTTGTTTGATGAGTTCTTGGACATTTTGGAAAGCTTGGAATGTGTACTACAATCCATCTTTGTAATGCAAATTGAAATTATAAGTGGAAGCATGTGAAAAGTAGCCATGAAGTTAGGCAAAAATCCTGCCTAACATAGGTCAAAATTTTTCTAAGTTAAGAATGTTTTGCACCCTTGTTCCAAAAATCATAACTTGAGCTACAAGCTTCTTTTTGAGGAGACTTTGTGAATCAAAGTTGTAGATTTTGCAATGGACTACAACTTTCATGTTTTGACTTTTGTTTGAATCCAAATGCATCTTGATGAAAAAATGGGACAAAGTTAGGAAAAAATTAGGGATTTTCATAACTTAGAAAATTTCTAAGTTATGAAAATTCTTCATTTCAAACCCTAATTTGTGATTTTTGATTTCTTGATGAACAAGTTTCATAATTTGGCATGTTTTGATGAAAAATGAATCTTGACACTTGATTTTGACCAAAAAGTCAAAGTTTGACTTTTCATTATACAGTCAAAAATTGATCAATTGACTGGAAAATTCATTTGTCAATCTTGTGCATTTGGGATCTTTTGAACTTGTTGAACATGTCAAGACAATCCCATTGGGTCCTTGAGTCCATATATGAGCTTGGTTTGCCATTGGTTAGGTCAAACAGTCAAAAATTGCCTTTGTGCAATCAAAACCCGCAAAATGACCATTTTGCCCTTTTGGTGATCTAATCAAATTTCTTGTGGAATTGTGATCCAAACTTGACCAAATGGTTTGTATGAGTTCAATATGTTGATGTGGGTAAAAAAAAATCATGAGGTTTGACTGTCAATTGGCCACAGTTGACTTTTTCCCCAAAACAGCTGATTTCTAGGTCAACTGTCCAGTTGACTGGGCAAAGATTGGAATCAAGGCTTGAAATTTGGTATGGGTAAACTTGAGAGTCCAATATGAAGCATGAAAGTAATTTTGGGCACCTTAGGTCAAAACATCTTTGTGAAAACACAAACCCTAATTTGGGTCAACAGTGCCAAGAGGAGTCATGAGCAGAGGAAACCCTAGCTGGATCTTGAACTCCAAGGGTCTTGTGGTGAGAAAAAGTTGAGGAAATGGGAGGGCAAATTTTAGTATACAGTCAGAATTGATCAATTGACTGGGAAATTCAACTATCAATCTTGTGTACTTGGGATCTTTTGAACTTGTTGAGCATGTCAAGATAATTCCATGGGGTCCTTGAGTCCATATGTGAGCTTGGTTTGCCATTGGCTAGGTCAAACAGTCAAAAATTGCCTTTGTGCAGTCAAAACCCTAAAAATGACCATTTTGCCCTTTTGGTGATCTGATCAAATTTCTTGTGGAATTGTGATCCAAACTTGATCAAATGGTCCATGTGAGTTTATAATGTTGATGTGAGTCAATTTTCATGAGATTTGACTGTCAATTGGCCACAGTTGACTTTTCCCAAATACAGTTGATTTATAGGTCAACTGTCCAATTGACTGGGCAAAATTTGGAATCAAGACTTGAAACTTGGTATGGATAAACTTGGGAGTCCAACATGAAGCATGAAAGTCATCTTAGGCATTTTAGGTCAAAATATCTTTGTGCAAACACAAACCCTAATTTGGGTCAACTATGCAAGGAGAAGTCTTGAGCAGAGGAAACCCTAATTGGATCTTGATCTTCAAGGGTCTTGTGATGAGAAAATGTTGAGGAAATGGGAGGGCAAATTTTGGGGTACAACAAAATGGATCCATAACTTCTTGTCTGCCGTGTAGGGCTGGATCTTCCTTGCGTATGAACGGAGGTGTAACTTAGGACAGGAAGCCCCGTCGTATTTCACAAAGGCAGGTGCCTTGAACTTGTGAGGGATCACCACCCTAGAAGATAAACCTAGATCTCCAAAATCCAACCCAGGTACACGTTGAATCTCCATAGCATTCAGTCGGTCCTCTAGTTGCTTGTACCTATCCTCAGCAGGAGGGTACTGTTCATCATTGAAATCTGTCTCGGTGTCAG